AGCTGCCATCGAGTCAATTCTGACTCTTGGCAATCCCACGTGTGCAGCGTAGAACTGCTCCGTAGAGTTCTCAAGGCTGTGACTTTTCAGAAGCAGATTGCTAGGCCTGTCTTCTTGGGCACTTCTGGGTGGGTTTGAACTGTCAACCTTACTAGTCGAGCACTTAACCATTTGCACCACCCAGGGTTGTGGTAATATATGTATAACATAAAAATTGCCCATTTTAGTCAGTTTTAAGTGTACAATTCTGTGGCATTAATTACCGATCCTGCTGTGCACGGGATTGCCATGAGCCAGGGGCCGGCTTGACAGCAGCTAACGTCAATCACAATAGTTACGTTCGTAGTGTTGTGCAGTCATCACCGTCTGTTTCCAAAACTTTTCTATCATCTCAAATCAGAAACTCGTTTATGGTCTGAATTTGGTGCTAACATTGATCTTCCAATTTTCTAACCTAATGTTTTTTTCACTGTCCTCGTTCCTCTGCCACATGCCTGGTATATCTGTCTGTCCGTCTGTCCTTACAGTTTAATAGACAGTCCCAGGGTGCTTGCTATCAAACTCTTGAAGACCTAGGAATGGAGAGCTGTCTGCTGGGACCCTCCTGAGACACCCCTAGACTGGAAAACATCTCTTGGGTGGGAGAGAGGCAAAGTGAAGACATGAAATCACTTGCTTTGGTACCTATCATTCTATTAAGGACAGTGAAAATGTAGTCTGTCATACCTGACATTTTAATTGAAAGAAAAGCTTACATAGATTTCAGCCGTAAGCAGTATGTTTATACAAGTGTATGAAGAGGAATAATCTTAGTGCTACAGGACTCAGTTTAGTAATTGAACAGTCCAACATGAGCTCACACATCTTACCTTGTTCCATGCCTCAATAATTTTTAGTCGAAATACTTGACCTAGAGGCACATGGTTATTAAAAAGGAGGCTCGGCTTGCTCAAAGTCTGGAATTATTAGCTCATGGCAACAAGCTTGCACTGGAGAAAGACTGTTGGGTCTTTGTTTTCACAACTTTACTGCAATATGCAATCTTATATTCAGAGTCTAACTGATGTATTGTTTGGGAAGTTTTTTTTTTTTAAAGGAAGAAAACATCGTTTCACATGGATGAGTGATTTCTCATGTTAGCGGTATTACAATGTTTTACTACTTCATGGGAGGTCCAGTGAGCAGTGTGACTATCAAAGGAAATGACCCATGAATGTATTTTAGTATAAAAAAATCAATGATAACTTAGTGATGGGAGCCACCAAGGTGTGATGGGGGAAGCCCTATATTGCAAGTTGAGTATAAACCCTGCTCCTTTTCGTGACCCATGTGACCATTGACACATTTAAATGTTTCTGATTTCAGCTTAAACAAACAAAACAAACAAAACACCAAACCCGTTGCTACCGACTTGATGCCAGCTCATGGCGACCCCATCTGTCTCCTGAGTAAAATGGAAGTAATATGACCTGCCTACCATACTGTATTGTTTCAAATGATATGAACTTAGGGATGTGAAAATACTTTGATATAAAGCTTTGTCCAAGTACAATATAAAAGGTTTTATGCATGTGCAATGTATTAAGTAGTAACTATTATTTTTCAGTGTACACAAAGGGAATTAGACAAAGAATGCAATTATGTATTCTGATACCACTCTTGCTTCAATGATCTGAATATTCTGGACAAATTATTGTGTCTTGAACCAAGCTACACAGATAATGACCTCAGTCTAGTCCTTTATGTACCTGGTGATGGGTAGGCATGGATTTTATATTTTCAGACTAGTTTTTGTAGTTTTAAAAGCCCAAGCAAGAAACCTAGAAATTTCCATCAGTTTTGCTAGGTGGAGATTGGGGAAGTACTTTACAAAGTTTTTATGAAACAATAAACTCAAAATTGTTCAGAATCCAAACACACAGGGATCTCAAATGACCATTTTCCCCTCCAAGTATGTATTGCTAATTGGTCTGACTGGTGTTAATAGGTAATTATTATGATAATCCAAGGGGCCCAGTATCTTGGGAAGCTTTCTTAGTTAATGAGGAAATACTTGATATTTTAAAAACTAGCGATCCGTGCATGTTATGGAAATAACTGAACTAATAAGAATATTGAATTAAATAAAACATAGCATTCTCCAGCTTTTCTATACAACTGAGAGTTTTCCATACACTTCTGGAAAGAATGAAAACTCAATTTAATTCTTTTTGCATCTCAATAGCTCCATCAAGTTGTTAAGTTGATTTTTAAAAAAAAATCAACCCACCAATAAAAACTGATAATCAAGATATTTTTAGTGTGTAAGGTTGGAGCCAAATCTTAAATGATGAGAATATGCTACGCTTTGTTCATGAAGTTGGTATCGCAAACCAACATCATAAATGTTTTTAGTTGTCCTTCCTATAAAGTTCTTGCTTGTCTCTAACTATCTATACTTGAATTCTCCCCGAAGACTATGTGTATGTTTAAATGTGTGTATTACATCTGTCTGTCTATCTGTCTGTCTATCTGTCTGTCTGTCTATCTATCTGTCCATCTATCTGTCTATCTGTCCATCTATCTGTCTGTCTATCTGTCTACCTGTTTACCTGTCGATCTGGCTGGCTGGCTGGCTGTTGGTCGGTCGGTCGGTCTGTTGGTCTGTGTGTCCATAAGTCTATCTATGTCTATTTGTATCTTTATATATATGGGATGGATGGATGATTCCCTATAGTAGGAGTACTCTGGATACACTTTTCTCATTCTGAAGCTAGAAAGCTCAGACTATTAATCTTGGACTTAGAGAAACTGGCCATTATTAAACATCATATGCTTTGATATGGAGTCCCCCCCCCCCCAACCAGTAAAATTCCAAGCAAAATACTAAGACTGGAGAATATAAAATTAATGTTGTCTGTTGACTGAGCCACATTCTATACCTATCTGACTGGAACCATCCACATTTTTCCCCTCTGAATGAGATAGACTTTAACACCCAGTGAAGTTACAACCCACTGTAATTTTTCAGAGTAATTGAAACAAGCAGTTTTCTAGAATTATAAAATTTCAGGAGCCCCGGTGGCATAGTGGTTAAGAGCTATGGCTGCTAACCAAAAGGTTGGCCGTTTAAATTCTCTAGCTGCTCCTTGGAAACTCTAAGGGGCAGTTCTCCTCTGCCCTATATAGTCACTATGAGTCAGAATTGACTCATGGCAATGGGTTTTTGGTTTGTAAAACCTAAAGGACCTTCAAAGACCATACTATTCTTTATTGTTAATCCATACTCCAAAGTTCCCAAGAGCACATGTCCAGAAATGCCCATAGTATTTCATTGGGTTATTAGGAAAGACTCGTTTCATTGTTCCAAGCTACTTAAGTTAGCCTATCTATATATCTATTCATACACATTCTATTAGTAAAACCAAGTATAATTTGTGTACATCTACATAACGTCCGTGTAGAAGCTTTATATTCCTATATATTTTCATATATACACACTGCTAAGCATATTAATATTGACTAATTTATGACTAATCCTTCTAAGATGTATGTGGCTGTAATAACTAGCTACATTTCCAAAGGCACTCTTCGCCAAAAAAGAGTGGAAAACTTAATCTTTGGAATTATTGCAGCAATGTGAAGGAAGAACTCGCTGGCATTCTTTCCCACATTGCAGTCTCCTACTTCTCAGCCTTTCTCCATGAGTCACCCATGGGAGGCCAGCGAGCTCCGAAGAAGAGGCCCTCATGCTACTCCAGTGGGGCTCTAGACCAGGGTGGGGTGGGGGTGGGGTAGAGTGGGGCCAGAGGGTGGGGTGGGGTGAAGGATGGCCTTCTATAAAGCATCTGAAGGCATTTGGCTACACAGACCATCTCTGTCTGCAACCATTACTCAGCCCAAGGGAGTTTTTTGGTTTTTTTTTTTTTTGAGAAAATGCATTCATTCCGGAAGCACTAATTTATAGTGTGGCATTCAGGATAACGTGGAAGACTCGGGGATCCTCCGGGGTTTTTGTTTATTTGCTTGTTTTGCTTTGTTTGTTGTTAAGTCTAACAATTTGACACTTATACAGCTCCCTGGCGCAAAAGCATCAGGAGATGGAGAATTTAGTCAAGGAGGTCACTTGTTTGCCATTTTTAATAAACGCAAATAATTCCCTTTTTCCTCAGTCCCACATTCCCTGGCTCATTAAATTAACTTAAGGCCCTTTAAAAAAAAAAAAGAATTCTGGCATATTGAAGCAAACGCTCTAACTATGTACTCCCCCGAGAATGCTTACCCAAGTCCAGCAGGTCAGGCCAAAATCAGTTTCTGTCAAACAGCCTAACACCTCGAGTTATTATGAAATGAGTGATTGGTAATTGTGGGCCAGGCTCCAGCCTGTCACAGAGAAAGGCCTGGCTGCAGCGCCATGAACCACGATTCGGCTGCTTTGTGTTTGTGTCCTGGCTTGTTTTTTGTTTTTTTTTTTTACTTTCTCCTCCTCACTCACAGTGGAGAACTATGAAGAAGTCAAAATGGATTTCTGTTGGGAACTCATGACTGAAGTTTGCTCTGCTAATCCAAAGAGTAAAAATGTATTCCGAGCAAAGCAAAGCAGGCCTCCAGGCAGAGGTGTGGGAAAGTGTGGATAAAACAAGCGTGCACAGATCTCAGCTCTGAGACACTCAGGAGGGCAGAGACTTCTGAGAAAACATGGGACTTTACCCCACAGTCTCTTTCCCATGGTGTGGGGATTGTAGGAGATTTACTGACTTGTCTATTGAATATCAGTAGGATAACAGAGGCCAGGAAATGAAGTGGAATTTGATGTATTAACGAGGAAGCAGCAAAGGAAACCAGGCTTGTGTTTTGTTATTATTTCCCTAATATCCTCAATTAGGTGGCTCTTGCACCAGTGGGTCTGATCTGTTGGACATGTGATGGTGTTGTCTCTGCTGGTTCTGAATACCAGGGAACCAGGCAGTGAAATCCCTGCCCAGGAACCAGGACTGATGTTTCTTCTTCTCTATTCTCAGGCCTGTTCCAGGCTCTCTATCTTCTCTGCTACACCTCCACAATAGACAGAGACAGCCCATGCCAGCCTCCATGCCCGGGACCCTGCCTAACCCCACAATGCCGGGCTCTTCTGCCGTCTTGATGCCAGTAAGTACTTCTGTGCGTCTCACCATAGTTTCTCACTTCCTCTGGGGCTTGCTGCTTTTGAAAGAGTAAAGGAAAAGCTAGGGTCTAAACTGACTGGGGAGTCCCTGGGTGGTGCAAATGGTTAATGCGCTGGTTTCTAACCTAAAGTTAGTGGTTCGAGTCCACCCTGAGGCACCAGAAGAAAGGTCTGTGATCTACTAAAAAATCAGCCATTGAAAACCCTATGAAGCACACTTCTACTGTGACACACATGGGGTCTCCATGAGTTGGAATCAACTCCACTACAATTTTTTTTTTTTTAACTGACTGGAAAAGAGGGCAGCTTCTTTTGAATGGAAAGTTGAGCTATGTGCCTATTCCATTTGCTTGGAGTGCCCTGTTGCCCATCCCTGAGGTGTGTTGCTGGCTCTCCCGTCCTGCGTTGATTTACCAGTGAGGCATGGCTCCATCTTTCTGCTGGTGAGAAGTGAGCCTGTGACATCCAGGGAGACAGTGTTTTATGACTACTCAGGAATCTACAGCTTGAGCTGTATACAAAGTGTCCTTAAATTGCAGTGAGTGCTCTAGACAGAACACAGAGTAACAAATTATACATATAAACAATAATAACAATGGTACATCAAAGCTGCTAACATGTATTATGAATCCTGCAGGCAACATTTATTGACGACTTGCCATGTGCTACTCACTTGTCAAGCCCTTTTAAGCAACACTTGAAACAATCCTGCAAGGGAGGTACTATTACTATCCCCATTTTCCAAATGAGGAAAGTGAGGCAAGTAAGTTGGTTGATTGAGAAGCAGAGCTGCTGAGCGTTGAACCCAGGAATTCTGGCTTCAGAGCCCAATCTTTCACCCACTACATGATTCATTATCTCCCTTAACTCTCACAATACACTTAGGATGTGGGCACTGTTATTACTCACATTTTACAGATGAGAAAACTGAGGCACAGAGAGACTGAGTGACTTGGCTAAGGTCACAAAGCTTGTAGGTGATGGAGTCAGGATTTAAATCCAGGTAGTTTCACTGAGTTCACACTCAGTAACCATCATATGGAGACTTGGTTGCTCAGTGGTTAAGAGCTTGGCTGCTTACCAAAAGCTTGGCAGTTCAAATCCACCAGCCACTCCTTGAAAACCCTATGGGGCAGTTCTGCTGTGCCCTGTAGGGTCTCTATGAGTCAGAATTGACTTGACGGCAATTTTTTTTTTTAACCATTAAATGATTATGCATAATTATTGTACTTTCCCCCTTTGAAAAGGACAGATAAAAGTAGCAAGAGACACAAAGCACTCTTTACCTCTTCTTCTCCCTCCTTAGCATTGTGTGCTTGGAACATGGCTGGTGTTATAATTCACAGGGCACAAGGGGTCTCAAAAGCCCTATAGGTGTTATGATGTTTGAATTCACACCCTCCCACACACAAAACTTCTAAATGATTAACAATAATAACAATACCTTCCAGAGCATTTTAGCTTCTGAATGAATTTTCTATTTGTTATTTCATTTTGTTCTCACAGCAGTTCTGTGGAGAAACGGTAGTATTCGTTATTGTTATACCCATTTTACAGATGAAAAACTGAAAAGCCATTTTACAAATGAAGGGAGTTGTCTAATGTCACTCAGCCCACGAGTGAAGAGTTGCAGTGCCATCACTAGGGTTGGTGCCATCCAGTGCAGTAACTCATGGTGTCACCACCCCGCCCATGCTAATTGCCACAGTATTGTTGCTAAAACACCAGAAAATTTGACAAAGTCAGCGACTATAAAAACACTAGCAGCAATGAAAACAGTAGTTAAGAGCTCGGCTGTTAACCAAAAGGTCAGCGGTTTGAATCCATCAGCCACTCCTTGGAAACCCTATGGAGCAGTTCTACTCTGTCCTATACGGTCAGTAGGAGGTGGATTCAACTCGACAGCAACAAGTTTTTTTTTAATGAAAACAACGTGCGTGCTTGTAGCGCGTGCAGACAAAACCACGTGATTCGAAGCGTCATTGTAATTGAATAATAATGATAATTCTGACCAGATAACATTAGAAGACACAAAAAGTAAATTAGCATAGATTTTAGCCTTGTAGGTACATTGATATGCCTAGGCTTACAAAAAACGTTTTTGTTGTTATAACTAACTACAGGGTTATTTTTATAAAAAATAATAAATTTCTGCTGAAACACTGCACAAAAATTTATTAACAGTCATTTTGGTGTCACCTGGTGTGGTCCCGCCAGTGTTGCCCCTGAAGAGCTGGGACTAGAATGCACGTCTCAACTCACGCTAAGCAGCTCAGATCAACCCTGGATGAGAAATTTTCTCAGAATGTAGGCAAGGAGCTGGGAAAGGCTTGGCCCCAATTTAGAGAAATGGACCTGCCCGTTATAAATACTGGATAGTCATCAGGTTAGAAAAAGTCTTTGCAAAATTGCTCCAGAAGGACAAAGTGAGCCAGTTAATGCTACCTGCATTTCTCTCCTGAGACCCCTTTGGATGAAGGAAAACAGTACCGTCAATGCAATTATCTCAAATTTTATTCAAACCAAATAAGTGCATGACCACTTCCACCTCAACTGCCTTCACTGAGGCTCCAAATCCTACTTGTCCAAAGCTAGGTTTTTTTTTTTTTCAAACTTCTGTGCATTCACTAGAAAAATACCACCTCAGTGACTTTTTTTCCACTTGTCCAAACTGTGTACCATTCTCAGGGAGCAGAGATGGGTACTTGGGCTGAAAGAGCCCAGAGAAAAGGCAACTTTGAGAACCTGACACTAGTTTCCACCACATCATCTCATCGTATTCCCTGATTTCCTGTTGATACTTGAGAATAAAGCAAAAGTTTAAGTGCATAGTCAAGAGCCATCGTAGAGAGAAGTCAGAGATGTCACCCCCATGCGCGTTTCCAAACCCATGTCAGTGACGTGCACGTCGTAACAGGCATCAGTGGAGACCAGTGGTTCTCAGCCGGGGGTAGTTTTGCTTCCTGGGGACATTCGGCAATGTCTGGAGACATTGTTGATTGACACAACTGGGAAGGACGGGAAGAGTGGGACTACCGACACCTAATGGGTAGAGGACAGGGATGCTGCTAAACATCTTATGATGCACAGGATCAGCCCTCACAGCAAAGGATTATTCAGCTCACAACGTCAGTATTGCCAAGGTTGAGAAGCTCTGGTGTACAGTGACACTAATGTAACTAAAGAAAATTAATATGAGAGCTCCAAAAAGTACATCCTATCATTTATAATCAGTAAAACCAGTTGCAGTGGAGTTGATTCTGACTGATGGCAACCCCATATCAGAGTAAAACTGTGCCCTGTAGGGTTTTCAGTGACTGATTTTCCACAAGTAGATCACCAGGCTTTTCTTCCAAGGCATCTCTGGGTGGACTGGAACTTCCAACCTTTTGGTTAGCAGCTGAGCACATTAAGCATGTGTGCCACCCAGGGACTCCTAGAAATCTGGAATTCTCCTTTCTTATGATCATATCACCAACTTTGGTGCTAAAACGTTGGCATTTCAAGCATGGTTAGAGGAGAACCTCATCCCCTAGAGTTCCTGCCCCAGGCAGCTATGATTCCCTAGGTATAAAAGGGAAGTTTATGTCTTTAGGTAAGATGAGATTCTTGACCGATTTGTATGCATGCTGTGAGACCACACATTTCACAAAGCCTCAGAGCTGAAGCAAAATGATGTATTTGTTCATTCATTCGTACATTCATTCACTCCACACACTCTTGTCGAGCACCGTCCTATGCATGTGCCAAGTACCGTGCTAGATGCTGGGGAGACAGTGATGAACAAGGCAGGCTTTGCCTTGAATGCGTTCACTGGGTTGTGAGTCATATTTTGAAAGTCAAATGATTAAACAACTTAGGAATATGAACACCCATTATAATTACAAGAGCTCAGTGAACCGCAGACATTCTATTTTTCAGTTTGTATGAAGGTAAAAAAGAAATAAATAAAGCTCAGAAAAGGGTGAAATCTTTACCTGGGTGTTTTACCTGTAATGCTACATGTTGCTCAGTACTGAGCAAAGGCACTCCCACCTTCTGGTCTCTTAATTCTAGTGAAGTCACTGAAGCCAAGCTCGTGGTGCAGAGCCTTGTTCGTGCAAAGCACCAAATAGTTGTTTTGAAGAGGCTCCGTTGACAACATGTGTTAACATGGAAAAATGCTTTTTATTTTTTGTTTTTAGATAGAGAAATCAGCCTGTTTTTAATATTCTATTTAATTTGAGTAGCTCTACGACCTTGCTAAAACCAGTAATTTTGTGATTCATGGGGTAGATATAGTCACGTTGTTATTAGCTGCCATCAAGTTGGCCCCCGACTCATGGTGACCCCGTGGACAATTGAATGAAACACTGCCCTGTCCTGCACCATCCTTGTGATCATTTGCAGATCTGTCTGCTATCATCCATAGAGCTTTCACTGGCTGATTTTCAGAAGTAGATTGCTAGGCCTTTCTTTCTAGAGAAATAGTCATAGACTATAATTTTTCTGAAATGTGGGAACCATTGTTAACTTCTGAATCCAGAGGTGGCAAATGGGCTACTCTCACCACTCTGTAGTACAAAATAACTAGTAGCTTGGAAGATTCTGGACAATTATAGACTTCTGAAAGATCCTTCTTTGGAAAACTGAAAACAAAAGCTCATTTGGGCTTTGATTATCCTCTAGGAGACGGTCACCGATTTGAATAAGACGTCTGATGCTATTCCAACTCTCCTATGCACCCAGCCTTTGGAAGAGGGAGTTATAAGTAATAAGCAATTTTTTAGAGCAGCAAAACTTTTGAATTCTTTATTACTTCAAAGTTTGAGTACCTAGGCTGTCTGGAGATTTGGGGGTACATGGAGTGTGTATGTGCACGTTTGATTTTGAATTGGTAAGGTCCAAATGTTTTGCTGAAGTGCTCTGGAGTGTAAAGAAAATTCTCCTTCATTAAATAGCTCCCCCTGAAACAGTTCACACATCACACTAAGCTAATTCAGGCTAAGGTAAGGCTAATGGTGCCTTATTGTCATGGGGAGTAGCCACCACTTACAGAGAAGGGCTGTAACTAGCACCTCTGCTAATCCACAAATTAATGACATAATGATACCACCCCCAACCCAGGGTGGGCACAATAGGAATTACAGAGTCATAGCATCTCAACAATGCAAAGGGTCATTTAGTTCAACTGTTCCTCTAAAGCTTCACTCTGTGAGATTTTCATTCCCTGTTCTTCGGAACACTTCTAGTGATAAGGACCTTCATTTTTTCCAAGACTACCTACGCTAATTTGAGCAGAAAGCTGGATCCCTAAAATTTCCAACCATTGTTTTTATTTCCATCGTTAGGCAAAAAATGGAAAAACATTTTCATTGAGGCATTTTTCTTTCCCAGAGTCAAGTCTAATGATCTTCTGTGTGATTTCATTATTAAGTGGACTTGTTTTATTCTAGTTGTTTGAAAAGTGCTAATTCCCTACTAAACAGAAAATATTATTAATCAGACACCCTTCCCTGACTGAAATAGAGATTTTCTTATATTTACCTTTTGAAGGGGGACACTCTGGAGACAAAGATGCTAGGAATCAATTCAGGTATTTGGGTGGTGTTCATTCTAGACACAATGGCAGGCCAGCAGGAGAACAATGTGGGAGCAGTCCTTCATGTGTCATGCAATACCCTCAACTGCTTTGTCACCTCCCCAAGGGCCTGTCCCTGCTGTGAGCCCTAGACGATTGCTGCATAGAGTCTTGACTAGGTGAACAAGGAAGAGGAGATGTGTCAGGGACAGCAACTCAACTCTCTGGGCTGAATCGTTTTAATGCTGTTTATGAGCTAGAGAGACAGGAAGTCCCACCATCTTTGAGGTCATTGATTTTAAAATTAATTTTGCTTTTTTTCTTCTTATTTCCAAAATGATTCGTGTTTACTGTATAAAATTTAGGAGGGGTGGCAGAGAAGACATAGATAATCCAAGATAACCATTTGGTAAATATCCTTCAGTATTTTTTCTATGCAATTATTCTTTACGACAGTAAAAATAATCACGGTTAGTGGTTGTGTAGTGTTTGCAAAAGTGGAAATAGTCTGTAATTTTGCTTGAAAATCACCTTCAATGACAACACAGTTCCTTTTGGTATGGGGCGTCTTCTAGAGAAGGCACAACTTTGGAGGCTTCATACACATGCTTGCATTTGAGACTCAGAAGTGCATTGCTTACCCTTCATCAAAAAGGCTTTCTCAGGAATTACTTAAAGAAATGCCGAACAGTTCACTTGAAGGAGAAATGCAGCATTGTATAAGACCTAGACTGCCTTTCTCAGACTTCTAATTCTGTTGCTTTTCTTTCTTTTAGATGGAGAGACAAATGTCAGTGAACTCCAACATCATGGGGATGCAAGGTCCAAATCTCAATAACCCCTGTGCTTCTCCCCAAGTCCAGCCAATGCATTCAGAAGCCAAAATGGTAAATAACAGTATAATCATCCTTTCATTTTTCATGACTTTTTCTCATGACTTCTACTCTGACTCCAAAATTTCAGTTAAGGTAGACGGTTCCATCTTTGTTTTAGTGAATAGGTCTTCCTGTGGAAAGGCAGTAGAGAGATTGGCTTTCTTTTTGAGGGTATTTGTTACTGAACCTTGGCGTCGAATAATCATTTAACAAGCACTGGATCAGCGTGTGGTGTTGGTGAAAGGGACATTTAGAAGTTTTGGAAAATCCATAGGAGTTGGGACAGGATGCACTCAAGTATTTGCTCAAAATGTATAATAAAAATAATCTGGACTTTCTCCTTCTTCAAGGTAGTTACACTTCAATGCCACTCTCCCTATACACCCACGTCCATTAAAACAGGCATTTGATTCTTAAGCACATACTATTGTAGAAATATTTTGCATTTTTTGTTTTAATTGTCAGATATAACATCGATTTGAAAGGATCAGAGACTTCTTTCCTAAGAGGTTAACTAAAACCCTTACTGAAGCACATGATTTCAGCTGCCAATCTTAAGTGGCTTTTAACATAAGAGATTTATGTACAGAAGGCCAGTATTTTCAATCACAGTGATAGAATTATGCATCCATATCCTACTAAATATTAATGAAAGCGATGCACGTCAGTCTTTGCAATATGAAGTAAACATGCTGGTTATATTTAGTGGAGTTACTATCATGGTGAAATTCTCGACACCACAATTAGAAAGGTATCAGATGACAATAAAATACACTGCAGCAAATTTTTTTAGTATCTGTCATTGGATCAGGATTGCTTTTGCCAAAAGCTGGAGATGCATTTGACTTGCTGACTGACAGCACTAGGGACCATGCCTGATGGTGAGTGTGAGGATGTTGTTGACAGTTCCAAAAGTCAGCTATCAGTTCCTGTGTAGGAGTGGAGTCAGATCCAGTGACTTCGTTTTCAACGACAACAAGAGTTTTTTTGACGCCTGCTTTGGCCACTGTCCCTTGGAGACTTCACTCAATTGACTTCCAGCTTCTTGACCCAAGGAAGCGACTGAACTCCCAGAGTTGGCTACCTTGTTAAGAGAGTTCTCTTTGCTGTACCACAGACCCTGTGACATGCCAAATGGCACCAGCATCTGCAGAAAAGCTCATTAAATCTTTTTGGAATTGGCAAATATTTTTTCAACTTGAGCCCTGCAGAGCCAAACCAAATACTTGCTGGCAGAGTAAAGTTCAAACTGGCATATGTTTTGGAGACTAAAAAAATTGGCGCCAACTCTAAGAATGAAATGGCGGCAGCATCAGACCTCCTTGTCTAACTTCACAAGGGGAAGGAGAAAGAAATCATTATCAGCATCAACAGCCCAAGACAGATTGCTGTTAAGTAGAGGTCAAACATACTTCCTCACTCCATCCTTGTTACCAATTCCTATACCAGCCGTCCCTCCCACAGCACTCTCTTCTCCTATGCTGGGTTTGATAATTTGTCACAGTGACCATACAGAACTCGCAGACAATACCCATGATTATAGGGCTTATTAGGGAAGTACCAGGTTACAGTTCAGGATCAGAAACGACTCAGGATAGAGTTCTTTGGTCAAGACAGCTTCTTGGCTGTGCCCACAGGCAGGCCTCTCCCTGGCCCTCAACCCCTTGGCCTTTTGGGGTTCTTAGGCTGGCCAGGCCTCTGCTCTGCTTGGGCAAGTGTTACAAAACTCTTTAGCTCCACTGATAAGTGCTCAGAGGCACCCGACTCCACCAGCGAGCCTCCTGCCTGAAGGCATTCAGCTTTCTTGCTCTGTGAAGACAACGGCGTCTCTCCTGCAAATCTCTCGGTTCTGTTGCTGCCGGTTTTCTGCTGTTTCTTCTCGCCATCTCGTACCTTCCCTGGTATTACAGCTGTCTCCTGGGTCTAGGAGATTATTAGCACAGGGACCGCAGGTCCAAAGGACACACTCTGCTCCCAGCTCTTCTTTCTTGGTGGTAGTGAGGTCCCCCCTTTCCATCTCTGGGATGGCTCATTTTAAGCCTAATGGGATGGCAAAACTGACCAATCTCCTTGTTAAGGTTCCATACACCTTATTTGCATGGTCCCAACCCCACAAGTTTCCATGAACCTTATTTGCATTAGCATCAGGCTGTCCAATCCCCTTGGTGGGCCACAAGCACCTTATTTGCATAGTCCCACCCAGTCATTGTGTAGGAATCACAAAGACTGTAGCTAGAAGGGCCATATTAAGCAATTCACTCACTGCAGAGACCAAAGCAGGGCTTTGAATCTGTTTGAACTGGTTCAGCCATGGCCAACTAAGTGAAACCAGAATAGAAATAGAAATTTGGGTGATCCAGAACATAACCGGGATGGGAAAAATCATGGATCGAAGCCCTAGAATGAGAGATTCTGAAGCGACGTAGAGAGCCCTTTTAGGAGCCTGATGTGTGAGACTGGATTATTGCTAGGACACACGTTCAAAGTGGCGCAGTAAGCAGCCATCTTTAAGCCAGGCATCACTGTTTCCAACTCTGCGCAGAATCCAATAGGCAAGAGATTTGGTTGCTATGCAACACATATACTGCTCCTGTTTTCTATGAGGGAGATTAAGTTTCTAGCAGGGCTTCAACCTGTAATTTTCCCATTCTGGTTTCTGTTCCGGGTGACCCAAATTTTAAAAATTCGAGTCTGTTCCAGTGTCGCTGCCTCAGCCATGACTGAACCAAGAACTGGTTTGAAGCCCTGGACCAAAGTATTGCTATTTACTTTTTTTTTTTTTTTAAGAAAAATGAACTGTGAAGGTACTTAAGAAGAAAACAAGATTAAGTTATTTGTGTTCATGAATAAGTGTTCTGGGTCTCAGTATCAGATGCTACACTCCTAGCTGGGTTATTTTTACATCCTCTTCATTGGTTCAGGGTCTGTGTCCCTTTTGAGGGACCTTCCAGACAACTTTAGATGGATTCTGAAACACTATTCCAAACCAAGATTCTCCGCCAATTGATTTTCACTGGATTTTATGCCACTCCTTGACTCAAAAGTGTCCTGACCCCTGTTCTTGCTAGCAAAGAAGGAAAATGCTTCCAAAGGTAGGAAGTCATTTATGTGTATGAAGTTAAAAAAAAATGATTTGGCAAATTAATACTGAGTGATTTTATCCAAAGACAAAAGGGAGTTACTCTATACTTACAAAAAAAATAGCGTGATCCCAAAAATGAGTGTCAAATTACATTTATTGAGCAAGCACAATATCCTTCTAATTCATGTACTGAGTGAATAGCTATTTCCAGGTCTACCATGTGCGGGGTAGTGAACTCTTTATCTTGGGGTTAGGGCTTAGGGAGCACGGTTATTCTCTCTGCCCTGGGCTCCCACCCCTACCTTCATTGTTGCCAATACATTAAACAAAAGGAAAACACGGTAGTACTGACCACTTATATTTGAAATAATGGAATTTATTTAGCAGTTTGGAAAAGTTTAAGTAAGTGAATTTTAATATGTCATTTAGTATCTCTGATCTTCTTATGCTTGCCTTATTCACTGGAACAAGCAGCTCTTGCGATCTACAGACTGTAAGAATTTTCTAGCAGCTTTGGGCTGTTCAGATGAAAAGCTTTTATGAAATACAAACTAGTGAAGGAAAAAAAAAAACCCATGATTTTAATGTCAGCCAGAGCCTCCCCAGGTTTCTCTGAACTATGGGCTTTGTTGTTCTATGCCTAATTTTCTTCTTGTGTCAGACTGGAATGGATTCCAGATTTCAGCTAAGACTCTCGTTTCACTGTTTTCAAGGACTTTTGCAAAGGTCACACATGGGCTATTGTGATAAATGCACTTGGCAGGGTGTGTTCTCAGAGCGCGCAAGTAACGAGAGAGCTACGGGGAGGTGTTGCCCACACAACAACACTGTAGGCTTTTTCTCCTGTGAGCAGTGGTGTCAAGAGTGTCCATTCACTCTCTATTGGCCGCTGACAAAAACAATCATCCTGAATCTCTGGTGAAACTTGGAGGTCTTGGAGGTGGACAAAGTTGAAGACAGTATTGCATTCCACTTACGACTGTGTTAGAAAACTTGCTGATTAGGGATTACCCATTCGAGTACATCAGTTTCTTTGCCCCCCAGATCAGCAATTGATATTGTAAGAAGGAGCAAAATAGATGTCCTCAATAAATGCTACAGTGCATGAATCTAGTACATCCTAAATCAAGAAGCACACATGCTCATTTTCTGAATTAATAAGGTCCCTGGATGGCACAAATGGTTTGCTTTCAGTTACTAAAGTAAGGGTTGGTGCTGTGGAAGAAAGGCTTGGCTATCTGCTTCCATAGATTGTAGCCAAGAAAACCCTATCGAGCTCAGTTCTACTCTGTAACGCATGGGGTCACCATGATCCCAAATTGACTCGATGTCAATATGTTTAGTTTTTTGGGTTTAGTATCAAGCAGTGTACTTCAGTTTACTGTAGCCGCAGCTGCCCAACTAGTTTTACCGTAATTCTGGCGGATTATACTATAGTTTTATAGGTTCTTTTTCTGAAGAATTAAGCCAACAGATATATGGCTTCACAATTATACAAGTGAATAAACACATACTGGATTTCATTTGGGAGTCAGAGCAGATGCAAAGCTGTGTGGGCCTTCCCTCTTTCTAACCACCCCAAACAATAGGTTCTTCGGGATTCCGGGAATGATGGGTGTCTTCGATGAAAGTGGAGTCTGCTAGAAAGGGCATTCACTGGATACTTGGTTGACATTTTTAACACTGAAAGGGAAAAGAGGAGCCCTGATGGTGCAGTGGTTAAGCACTTGGCTGCTAATGGAAAGGTCCACAGTTACAACCCTCCACTCAGTCTACAGGAGAACGATGTGGCAGTCTGCTTCCTTAAAGATACACAGCCTTGAAAACCTTATGGGACAGTTCTACCCTGTCCTACGGGCTCGCTATGAGTCAGAATTGACTCGAAGGCAGTGGGTTTTTTGTTTTTGTTTTTGTTTAAAGGGGAAACAGA